CTAGACTCCAGATATAGACTATCAGTATAGTCTCGTCTATCTCCAGTCTGAGAGACATGATTCATGACATATCATTATAAAATTAGTTCAGTATGAGACTGAAATATCGTTTTTTTATATTCTTAGCTTAATTGTTTTATATATAAATAATACTGATCATTGGTTCCTATCTGATTTAACTACGTTTAGACTAGTCATGGATTTTTTTAATTTACAACAGTAACTTTCAAAATATATATAAATAAAATGATTCATTTGAAGAAATTACTTCAAATGGAACTCAAAGATATAAAATATAACGACAATGTAATGAACGAGAAATAGAATATTAGTTTCATTTAATAAACTTCACTCAATAACTTTATAGTATAAATAATACGAAATATTACAGTCAAATATAAAAATCCATTTTTATAAAACTACTAAAATCCCATCATTTTTGGTATAGACAGAAAACAAAATTTAAATATGTGATTTATTATAAATTTTACCAATTATTTCAGTAAAACAATATTATTATTTCTTTTTGTTATATTTTTGTTATAATGCAACACTTAAGGTAAACTATCAAAACAAAAAATTAAACAGTTAAAATACAGTTACGTCATTTAACGGTTCACTAAAAACAAAATAAACTAAGTGGGTCGTTTTAAGACAAAAAAAACTTCATTACACAGACTAACAAATATTCACTTTATACATACAAGTATAAATCTGTTAAAAATTACAGTACGATTTCTCTGTATCATTCATTGCTCTGTATATATATTAATAAAAGATATATACAGCAAAAAAAAATTGATATTATTTATGTATTTGACTTTCTTTTATGTATGTTTACCATAAGTAAATTACACTGCTTACGGAGCGATAAAAGTATTCCGTTAATCTCCGCACATTATAAAAGAGACGAAACCTCTCATCATTCCATGTATTCACGGTGCGTGTGTCAGGTCCATCGTTGTAGTGAGAGGAGCTTCAACAGTGACTGGGACTTGTGACCCAGGTGTAGGTTTAATATATATAGAGAGACGAAACTTCTCATCATTCCATGTATTCACGGTGCGTGTGTCAGGTCCATCGTTGTAGTGAGAGGAGCTTCAACAGTGACTGGGACTTGTGACCCAGGTGTAGGTTTAAGGGTCCCTATCTAACGCGTTAAACGCTCGCCTCCACTGTCCAAGCTCCTCTCTCTACATAAACAAATTTGAAAAGAACCTACTAGGGCTGCTTTCGAATTACGTTCTGAGAATGAAATTTAACGTAGATTATTGAATTTAAAACGAAAAACGAATCGTTTGTAGTGTGGTGAAGGTAACTATGTATAAACTTGATTATATAAAACACAATTTGACCAACGCTGATTCAATTTTATCTTGTATACCTTTATATTTAAAGATTATTATTGCTTTACCATTATTCTTATATTGTAAATCTCTCTAGATTTTTCTTGACTATACTATATAATTATTACTTTTGTTTGCTTACAACACTAGGATTCTAAAATTTAGATTTTCCTCTAAAATCAAAAATAACTTCAAAAATTATATTTTAAACGAGCAGAATCGAACCCGTAACCTAGCAATGGCAACCATTACAACATCAACGCCATATGATCATACTACATTATACATAAAATTCAATTTTATTAACACTATCGTTAAATTACTCTGCGTATATAAACGTAAAGAAAGTGGTATGTTTTTATTTATTATTATTATTAGTCTCCTTTCTTATGTTTTGTATTGACGCATTTGAATGAATATAAATATAATAAATCATCGATATTATTTTTTTCTTTTATCGAAAACAATGCGTTTTATTATAGAAAATATAAAATATTTATAAATTTATTTTGTCGTGGTGGCCTAGAGGTTAAAGGCACTCCTCTCGTGCGTAAAGGCACGGGTTCGAAACCTGGCAAGTACCAATGTGATTTTTCGAAGTCATATGTACTTTCTAAGGTTATTTAGACACCACTGACAGACGGTGAAGGAAAACATCGTGAGGAAACCTGAACTTATAATTTCAAAAAATAAGTTTGAAATCACCAACCCGTCTTGAGCAAGCGTGGTGATTAATGCTCAAACCTTCTCTATGTGAGAAGAGGCTATGCTCAGCAGTGGGCTCTGATAGGCTAATGATGATGATGATGATGAAATATATTGTTATTATCAGTATTAAGAATACGAAATAAACCAAAATATGCTTGAAGAATTAATGTACATATCATTTATTCTTGTTTATTTTCTCCTGTTTCTAAATTACTTAAAAGACTTTTATTCATCATTTACCTATAGCCTTATCACAGATTTGACTTGCTTCTAAACTCAGAGTATCTCAATGATAACGTGTAGTTTCAACGTATTGATGAGAAACGTGAAACGCCTCGTATATAGTAATGATAACTTAGACTAAGGATACAAATCTAATATTATTATGAATGAGAATGTTTGTGTGTTACCCGAAATCTACTGAACTTATTTATTTGAACTTTTCCGAACAATAAAAAAAAATGAGACGCTTAATTTTTACAATAGAAAATGTACTATTAAATGTAGTTTATTTGTATTATATTTTATGTTGGTAGTGCATTATAATTTACCAACATAATAAAGAAAAATCTCATCTTCATTTATCTGATCTTATGTATAGTATTGTTTTATAATATGAATAATAACATTTATATATAAATACTGAACCGATTTTGGTGAGGTCTAACAAAATCGTAATTTTCACTTCCGAGACCACATCTTACAGAGGATTCAGTGTTGCTCTTCAGACACTTTCACTAAATTTAAGTCTAGACTGAGCGTTAATTCAAGCATGAAATCGTGTGTGGGATTAATTTAAAACTATTATTACTAAATATATACTTAATAAACATACTACTTCTTTTTCTTCAACCTGTCAATTTCCCAGCTTTAGACAGGGTCTGCCTTACATGTTGTGAATAGTTTTGGCTACTTGTTTCTACGACCGGCCGCTTGACATCAGCCCTCTTTGGGAATGCATTAATCAGTGATGTCTAAATACTCTTACAAAATACATATGATACGGACATCATATTGGTACTTGCTCGGGTCAGGATCAAACCCACGCCCTCGTGCATGAGAGGCGAGCCTTTTAACCACTAGGCCAAACTTACTAGGTACTTATATTTAGTTGGATGTATATGTACGAAAATATTACTTTTACTTCATGATCAGTTATCACTTATCGGTCAACTAATTATTATAATTATAATTTTCTAATCGGCCATTTCAAGTTTTTTTTTAATGTACGTAATTAACTAATTACGCGTCTTTATACATTTCCTTTCATGATGCAATTAGTTGGTGACGTCACAAGACACCCAATATGGCCGACCACCCAAGATGGCGGATTATTTTATAGGACCTCCCGCATAAGTATCAAATTACTGTATTTTATGGTAATTTTAAAAATTAAAAGATCGATACGTAAAATGTATATTAACATAGTAAACATTACTATGGAGAAAGTAATAGAAAATTGCATAAATATTTGTAATAATGTTTTATAATATATATTTTGTATACTTATTAATATAAAAATCTGTTATATATAAGAGAATAAAAAGTGAAATCAATCTCAAGTATCATATTTATCCGCCATCTCTGTGGTTAATGTCGCGTCGCCAGGAAATGTAAATACCGCAGTTATTTCTTCAAATACTGTTATTTGTTTATTTTACGTTCAATAATAGCAATCACTATCCGAGCGATTATTAAAAAAAAGTAGATTTTAGTTATTCAACCAATCTCAAGTACATATAGTAAAATCTTTTATATATAAAATTAATTGAAAAGTGTAAATAGGTACATATTATATAGCTAAAGTATGGAACTAGAGATAGTTTTCTGATAATAATAATAAGTTATACAAAAGATACTATAGAATATATTATCATAGACATAATTATGATTTTCTATTTGTCTTAGCTGTCAGATGTTTTGATTTTGACAGTTCACCATAGATATATAAAGCTTGTTTATGCCATAGCTTATAAAGAAGATAAAAGCTTATACATTATAATGTAGATTATATATTACAACCAACTTCAAGATATAATTATTTGGTTGTTGATATAATCTCTTTATTTATATTTTTAGATAATTCAATTTAGATTTTTAATATTATAAATACTTATGTATGGTAATTGCAAATGTGACTTAGTGGATATTAAAAAAAATTATGTTGCCTGGAGTTATCTTAACAAAGGTGTTTCTACTTTCTCATTCACTGAACTACATATTTACTATAATATTTTACTTAGTAATTCATGCAACAACTGTTATATATATGGGTATGCATTATTTAGTATTGATTTTAACTTGAGCTTATAAAATTCTATTACAAGATTAAGTTTTGGTAATAAGATAGGTTTAAATGTGTGTTTTAGTGTTTTTAGTCTAAATTTAGTTGAAGATAATAAGTATTAGAAGGAAAGTACTAACTTAAAAAAACTCACCACGGAGAATATATATAAAAACAAGAAAAACAAACATTTCTTTCTACCTTAAACTAAACAGATATACATAAACATAATTTGTTTTTAAAATTTTTGCTGTTATAAAAGAAATAGGCATTAAATCATATACAAAGTGACTTAATATAATTTTAACTAAACTATTACAATTCAATATCGAAGAAAATAGTACATTAATTTAATAAATCTTAGTAAGTTTGATTTACATAATTATAGAATATTTAATATTACCGGCCCTCCCATATATGTATATGTATATACTACTAATATTAAAATTGCGAAAGTTTGTGTGTGTGTATGTTTGTTACTTGTTCACGCTCAAACTGCTAAACCGATTCTGATAAATTTTTGTATGGAGGAAGCTGACGTCCAGGAATAACACATAGGCTACTTTACACCCCCGAAATCTCGGGAATCCCGGAAATCCGCTGGTAAAACCGCGGGTCGCAGCTACTATATATATAAAATTAAAATTCCTTGTTATACTTACATTGTCCAAATCAATCTGTCTCAGTAGAGGCTTCATCATGATAGAGCTCATGCCAACATCAACAAATTGCACTAATTTTATATTCTATGTCACACAATGTTACATGTAATGTCACAAAAACATAATTTGTTAATTATATATGACAGCACTTTGTTTTTCTGAAACAAAAACAAAACTATTAACATATGTCGGGTATAAACAAAGGAGTGTAATTTTATATATACTTGAATAGGGTACATACATATATAAAATATTACTATATATATAATATGAAATAATTATACTTATATGTTAATTAATAGTTGTAAAATCATTAAAGTCAATTTAATCCAATAATTTTTAATTAGTTCTAGTAAATTAACATAATTATAATATTTAACTAAATATGTAATTTATGTACTTTAAGGTGAATTCAGTAATTACTTAGATTAACTTTAAAATCGTCACAAAATGTATCTTAGATTTTGGCAGTAATACCAATATATTATATAACTTGTATAATAAAATATGCACACTTTCACCAAATTTAATTATAAATAAACTTAGAAAATGTAGAATGGCCAATATTGATGTGGGCATATTTATATATAACACCCAGATTTCAGCCTAGTGTGTATATGCTTTACGATAGTGTGGAGTTTGCGGGTTTGATTCCTGACAATATTAAATGTAATATTAGCTTAAGTTAAAATACAAAATTTTATTAATATATTCTTAATTTACTCTTGATGCTTAGTGAAATATATATATTTACTATATTATCAAAGGTTACAAAATATATTGAGATTTATATATTTTTATTAAGGACACATATAATAATTGTTTATACATAGCCTCTTTATGAACTTTATCAACAAAATTTGCTTCATTTATGTTTGAAAATATATAAAAAATGCAAGCATTATATTATGGGATATTTTGAAAGCAGTTTTTTATATGCTACTGCCATTTTGTTATAAATTTCTATGTCTTAAACTTGTTATCTCATTAACATTAGAATTATGGAATTTATCAGTGAATTTAAGACAATAGCAACTATATTTATGCAACTGTTACACAAGATTCATAAAAGGCATGTCAATAACAATCTGGACTAACTGGAATAACAAAAACTGGCTGAAAAACAGTTAATATGCAGTCAGCCGTAAAGTATGCCTTATTAACATGTCTATATATTTTGATTCAAGCATTTTAGATTTGTTCGTACTTTCTACCCACATAATAAATGTGTGAAATTTAAGAAAAATTTTACGTGTTCGATATTCGAACAATGTAAAGGAAAAGTAAAAGTAACGAACATCTGACAAAGGAATCGAGATTTTGCAATAGCAAGGGCAAACTCAATCGTGGTTTTTATTATTTCAATAACACCTATTCCACCTACCTCTGATATATAGCGTGGTTCAAATTATGGCACAGTTATAAAAAACTAAATAAAACACTAAAATAAACGAATCTATAAAAACAAAATGTAGAAATACAACAACTTCAGTTCTTGACGATATATCTACTGTAGCTGTACATCAATGATTTAGCTGACAATTGACAGCTTTGTTATACTACCAAATAAAAATATATACGTCGCAATATATATTTATATGTATATTGTGATTTTTGATTTGGCTGCGTTATACTTACGTAGTGAACACCCGTTTTACATTGTCATCGAACACATGAAATCTCCAAAAACCAACACTGCACAAAATAACAACTTATAAAAACAGATGGTTATACGATTGTACAACGTTTAAATACTTAATTATTTAGCATTGATATAAAATAACTTCGAATAGGCCCTGTTCCTCTAAATTATTTCACGTAGTCAAATCATCAAATGAAAAGAAATACAAGGAACTTGAAAGAAAGAGATATAACATATTTATACGAGACCGATATTGATCACAGTGTTGCCAAGAGCAATAATAATTGTTTTACTCATATTATCAGCATTTAATAATATAATTTAAAATATTAGTCGAACAGGTTGCTATCTTAAAATTGTTTCTCATATCGATTTCTTATCTGGATTTTTTGAAAAAAAAATTGCTTTTGTCACAAAATATGATTCTAAAAAATATACTGAACAATCTCGTTTTACCATTATTTAAAAAAAATGATATTCATAAAACTTAATAATTTTTTATTCATTATTTGCTAATACTTTTCTCGATGACAGGTTTCAATGGCAGTAAACTGTTTGTAAGTATATTATATATAAAATGTCCATTTTAAGATTTTGACTCACTGTTTATAAAATCGTGGATAAAGGCCATACATTAAAGAATTTTATCAATTTGATATCAATATTATAAGAATATTTCCAAATCGTAACTACTTATGTTATAATTTACATGTTAAATTCACATTTTTTTTGTTCAGATCATAAGAAACTTATTAATATGGTGCGTATTATTTTATGAAAAGAAAAATTTAGATAAGCACTTTTATTTTATTGTATACCATATCAAAAAATATATAGTTTGTTTTTGCCTTAAAATTGTTTTTACACCCACAGACATTTAAATATTATAAGAAAATTATCAATAGCTGCTTAATATAAATTTATTATTTACTAGTTTTTGCCCGCGACTTCGTCCGCGTTAGTTTCGTCATTAGTAATATATGTATAGCTGACCAGGCGAACTCTATTCCGTCTTAGAGGCCATAAATAATCAGGTTTTTCCTGTTTCAATCAAATAGAATTATTGACATATTAGTTAGTTGTCAAATCTAATGTTAAAAAAAGCGTTTGTATGGGAAATAGAAAAGGGCCGTTTTTAGGGTTTTCCCGGCAAATATTCCAATTTTTCTCACCTTTTATACCTTCCCTGAACCTCCACGAACATTTCAAGACTAAGATAAGACAAATCCGTTCAGCTGTTCCCGAGTTTTAGCGAGACTAAGGAACAGCAATCCATTTTTATATATATAGAAGATATGAAAGTTTTATTTTCTGTAATATTTATGTATTTGTGTTTATGCAAAGATATTCATATAATGTCTGTACTTGGTACCTACTACACTATTGATAAGCATTGACAGTGACATTGACGGATCTATGAATCAACTTACCTACTAATCTGAACTGTTTTGCAATACAAATAACTGAATAACTTAATTACTAATTACCATAACAGGCTTAATTAAACAAAACAGATGTTTTAGTGTTACAATAATAATCAGTTGCCATACAAAATGTGTTACGTTATTATAACCGGGCGGAGTTTGGCCTGGCTTTTATTGAGCTTGGTTGCTTTTATGCTAATTTTAACCGGTATTATGACGCCCAAGTGGCTTTTGGGCCAGCCAGTTATAACGAATGAGAATAACATGACCAAATTTTATGTCCCCAGTGTCGGAATATATAACAGGTAATTTTATATCAATTATTTTCAAAAAATTAAGTTTATATTCATTTTTTAAAAATATACGTTATAGTTTATCATAATAAAATTTATTTCTCTCAAATTACGATTGTAATTTTAATATTATAATTGATTAAATTATTGTGCATGTAAAATTGTTTACTATTCTGTTTTTTTTTTAAACATTAATTTTAAAGTGTAATAGTAAATGAGATTTCACTTAAATGTATGTAAAAATAAAATAATCTGAAGTCTGTGATAATAGAAATTTAAATTTAAACTTGTTACCTTAAATTATTTCTCATACCTTCAAATATCATCTATTAATTTTAGGTTTTACTAATAAAACATCTCTCTGTCTCAATTAACCTTTATTTTATAGGTTTTGGTTATTAAAACAAACAATCATACAATCCCATATCATTTATAATGTACACTTATTAATACTGATAAGTACGACAAACAAATATGTCTATATGTGTGTTTATAACCAATACAAACTCAATAACTTACTATTTACTTATATATAGTTACAAAGAGTGAAGATTTTAAAGTTGTCTTAATGATATTTCCAGATGTATCCGAATGCGTCACGATCATTATAATTGCGCTCCGTTCTCGTTATATGGCTTAGCAACGGACTCCGCAGTTTACCCTGGCCCGTGGAAAGCAGCATTATTCTTTTTATCATTGTGTAAGTTGACATATATATATATTTCTTGTCATCAGCCTATCATAGCCCATTGCTAAGCTGCCTCTTCTCACATGGAAAAGGTTTGAGCATTAATCACCACACTTGCTCAAGACGGGTTGGTGATTTCAAACTTATAATTGTGAAATTCTAAGTCCAGGTTTCCTCACGATGTTTCATTGAGTTATTGAAATATTTTTGGTTATTATAATTAATATAATAGGATTGTACATCACTAGAAGTGTGTATATAATCATTTATGTTTATTTTTTTCTTTACAACATTTATTTTTTTTGGGAATTCCCGACATATGTTAAAATAGCATGCTTTTATAGCAATTAGGTAAATAAGAATGCAATAAAAAGTGATAAATATTTTATTAAAATTAAAAAACAACATATTAAAGTACAGTGTAGTTATTTTATTTTTTTTACTAATAATGAAAATAGGTCTGAATAAAATGGACATACCTATATTAAATAAATTAATTGTGTGTGAAGAAGTGACATTTTGTAATTTTGGAATGAAAACAGGAAGGGATAAAAATTTACTATTAAGGAATTATTAATGTTTTTTTTAAAGACAAACTTTATTTACATTACTCACAAGTCACAATTGTTTACCTGCATTCCCTCACAATCTCTTTTTATCCCAAGGTTGCGTTAAACATTTAACACAACCTATTGGAAATTGCATAAGAAGTTTCACTTCAGAAACATTGTTGATAATGATCTAAGATTTCGCGAGTTTTATTCATTTAAATTAAACTATTATTTTTCGGATATATTACGCGACTTTATTTTTGTCAAAAATATCTCTTTTGCCAGTGATCACGGTTGCTGAAAAGTAGCCGAAACGTCGGGAGTATGTAGTTTTTGACAAAATTAGAAAAATAATAGTTTAATTTTAACATTATTGATTTATAATACTTATTTGTAGCCATACTTTAATTAATATATATATTTTACAGGTGCGACGGTACAATTTTCAACAGTATTAGCTGGTGTAATGTCGTGTTGTGTTCAATCAGTGTTCAAGAAGAGTGTTATATCTTTGGCTGGGGCTGCTCAATCTTTGGGAGGTTGGTTGATATTGTTGTATTAATTATTATATAGTATAATACTTAGAATTATTCTTATGATTAATTACACTGCCCAACACATATTTTGTTTCCTTTATTTTTTTCACTGTTATTAGTTATTTCTATGTCCCTGAATATGAAAAAAATACTAAAAAAATTCTAACAGCTTTAGTTTTTGAAATATAATATTTTTTTATTTTGACCAAAAATTCAGAAAATACAAAATGTTTTATAAAATACAATGAAATGATCTTTTATAGGAATTTTTTGACTGAACGACTTCAGATAGATTTCGTTGCAAACTCCAGCAGTATTTTTCCATCATATGTGAGTCCCACCGCCCCTGATAACGCTCTTCCAATGTCCTGGATCCTGGAGGAATCTTTCACCCTGCTCTTGACTATAATCATCCAGATTTTTTGGAAATCGGTCTTAATGCGAGCGCAGCAAGTGGATTTTTATGCTAATGTTGGACCCTAGTTGTTCCAAATTCGATAGCATGGCCTCAACAAGCTCCACGTAGTCGTCAGATTTATTTTTGCCTAAGAAATTACTAATAACCAAAAAAATGAATTCTAAGGTTTCGATTCCACTTTAGTCATTGATTTGACAAAATCAGAATCTTTCACGAGTTGCCTGATCTGTTCTTGAGGTTCTTGGCTAGATTTGTAGACTGAATAAGAATCTTCACTTGATGAATTTCGTTCGGGTTCACAGGGATTCGGATAATCAGAAGATTTAGATTTGCCAGGTTGTACCTCTCATGATTTTAATTGGGGTCGTTGGGCAGAAGATAATTTAGGATGTGGCCACCTATTTCGATTGCCAGGATTAATTTTTTTGACTTTCACAACGCAAAAGTAGCAGTCGTCATGATCGTTTTCAGGTTCTCGCACCTGACCACCTGTGTTTCGAATATTACTGCATCTCTGTTTCCATTGGACCACAATTGTAGCCATACAACACATTTTTGACATACAATATGAGGAATCCACGGCTTGTTCTGATTAAACAATTTTATTTTAAAGTATTGTTGATACACATTTTTCACAAGTTCGACATAGGTTTTCGATACTTTGCAAATACATATTCACTACAAATATAGCAAAAAGAGTCGGGATTAAGCACACAACATCTTCTTGACGAAGCCATATCGAAAACAGCAACAAAATATGTTGCAGTGTCGAATAAAAAATGCATATGTAGATGAAAGTAGTAAATGAGGGTAGTTAGCTGTAACTCAAAAACAAAAGCTGTTACAGGAAAACTGTTTCGAAATTTAAAAAATATACGTAAATTTAAGATAGAAACAAGAAAAACATTAAAGGAAACAAACAACTTTTATTTTTTTGTTGACCAGTGTTATAATTAACTATTTTGTAATGGCAACATTTAAGTATTTGAAAATTATAAATACTGGCTTCAGAATTTTCTAAAATATTACTAGTAACATTGAGCATTAAAAATTAAGTTAGAAACTGTATCTTGAACAATATCTCAATGAATGCTTATTAATATTTCTTACCTTAACTTATTTTAAATATTAAATACTGTATTAATGATTTTGGTTTGCTTTTTCCTAATTTGGAGTTAATGTCCATAATACAAAGTTGATTTTATGTTTTTTAAAAGTCATATATTTTTTATTACTTAAAAAGCTATAATAATGTTACTTAATACTTTTCTTGTAAAAAACCTCGTTTTAAAACACTATCAGATGAAGATAATAGCTAAAAAAATCAATTTTACCTTAAAATTTGACTACTTTACTCAAAATCACTACAAAGAGATTAAATACTCCTAATTCCTATTGATTGTGGTCATAATGTATATTATTTACATAATTTTCCAGGTCTTTTTGGTGTTTTGGGTCTACTTTTATACCCATGGGGCTGGGGTGCACCGAGAGTTAAAAGACTTTGTGGTGAATATTCAGAACCATACATTCCCGGTGACTGTTCCATTGGTGAGTTATTAATCTTATTATATACGTAAGATTATCAGAAGAAAGTTTAACCTGAAATATTATCTAAATAAACGACTTAAAGTAATTTTTTAAAATAAGTAATAAATTAAGCACTAAATAATTACTGATTGTGAAAAAAATATCTTTAAAGTCGTTAATATAGAAAATATTTCAGCTTTCTTCTGATCTGCTTCCAATGTAGATACATGGAATTATTCAATGCTAGTTACGTGGATTTGCACTATTTCTGACGATATTAGACTTATTCAACTAGCTTTTCGCCCTCAGCTTCGCCCGCGTGGAGTTCGGTTATATCGCGTTTCCAAGAGAACCTTTCAAAAGTATGGGATAAAAACTATCCTATGTTCTTTCTCAAGGTCAACTCTATGTCTGTACCAAATTTCATTAAAATCAGTTCAGAGGTTTAGGCGTGAAAGCGTAACAGACAGACATAGAGTTACTTTCGCATTTATAATATTAGTAGGGATTATAATGCCTTAAAAGTTAATTTCCTTATTGACTCCAAGCAGCTTAAAATTACCCCGCTTGGTGTTTATTGTACAATAATATTTTATTACTCTTTTCTTAAATAAATTTGAAATCTATGTTGAGGCTTAGATGATACATTAATCTAATGTATGCAGAGCAATAAATACAAGTTCTATTAAAATATATTTAATACTGGTTTTCCGCCCGCAGCTTCGCCCGCGTGGAGTTCGGTTATATCGCGTTTCCAAGAGAACCTTTCAAAAGTCTGTAATAAAAACTATCATTATTTCTTTCTCAAGGTCAACTCTATCTCTGTACCAAATTTCATTAAAATCAGTTCAGTGGTTCAGGCGTGAAAGGGTAACAGACACAGACAGACAGACAGAGTTACTTTCGCATTTATAATATTACTAGGGATTAACACACTTCGTTATATCAATATATACATTTTTCTGTGCTTAAACATACTTTTTACTAAATTTATTCATAATTACATCTTTCAAATATATAAGGAAACTTAAGTCATTTCTAAAACATATAATTTAGGTACTATATGGTTATAGTAATATTAGATATTTATTACAATAATATAAATATACAGAATTAATAATTATTGTATAATTAGAGTATATCTACTATTTAATTGTTATTACACAACCCTTTATACATATGAGTCAGTGGTGGCCTAGTGGTTAAAAGGACCGCCTCTCATGCATGAGGGCGCGGGTTCGATCCTGGCAAGTACCAATGTGATTTTTCATATGTACTTTCCTAGAGAATTTAGACATCACTGATTAATTCATTCCCAAAGAGGGTTGATGTCAGGCAGGCGACCGATCATAAAAACAATTAGCCAAAACTATTCACAACATGTAAGGCAGACCCTGGCTTTTAATGTAATATACAGGGTTTTTTGAGCCTTTCTCAATAATAACAAACAATTTTATCAATGAATTTAACTATAGTAGGCACTATCATATATATGAGTATATTAAAACATATATATGTATATTTTAATCACAGGTTGGGCATTATGTGTGACAGCAACTGGTGTTGCACAGATATTCCTTGCGAGTGCATTATCAAAGACAGCTGATAAAGCGGCTAACTCAGATAAAGTGCAGTTCCAAATGGATGAAGGTAAACAACTTATATGTTTAGTCTGATATATACATATATATGTATGTAAATTGTGCTATTTACATTAATTTTATCAATAATCATATTGAGAAAGAAATGTGTAAGTTTTTTCTATATGTACTGAATTATTTTAAATTCAATGTATGTGTAATTATATTTGACTGATTCAATACTTATTTGGTATTGGAATTACAAAATATTTTTTATAACTAAAAGAAATTTTAAAAGAAATGTTTTTGTAACTTATTTGTAATTGAAATCTATAGAGATCTATTTGAATCTCATTTTCACTTTGACTGAAATCTTTCTTACTCATAGTGATATAAATAATAATTTATTTTGAGAACAATATTAAATAAAATCCTTGTTAACATTGCATGACTTCAGATAACATTATTAAAATATGAAACTCTTTTGTGTAAAATAAAAATATATGTAAGTTTCATTCTAAAGCGAGGCTAACATACAAATCTGCACAAAAATCTATGTACAAAGTAATTTTCATATTACATACTTTGATATCATTGTTTACAAAATTTATCTTGTTACGTTGGCCCTAATTTAGTAGATAAACATTTAAAGACTGAAGTGCCTTCCATTTTTTCTACATATAGTCAGATAACAAAGATAAGTTAATACTCATATATTAAGACAAAATAAATAACTGCCAGTTTTTTTTAGTCGGTTTTTGTATGAAAATCAGTATTGTGACTACAAATGATCTTATGTTTAGAACTTAATTTGAATTAACAATTATTATGTATAAAAGATTTCTCATACAAAATAAAGTTTCTATAATTGAATAAAAGATGAAATATTAATGTTTTTCTTGATTAAAATATGTCTTTATGCCTTAATACTATAAATTACTTATATGTGCATTTACTAAAACTTTTATTACTAATGTATATTTAAACATTAAATATAATATTTATCTGATAATGTTACCTATACTGTATAATTAATTCTAAGTTTAATTTGACTTTTTAATTTTTATATTGATACTTTTTTTGACGTCAATATATTTTTAAGATATTTTTTTATACTTATACATAACCATATTTTGTAATACGAATATATACAAATTATACAATGATTACTGCGTTTTATTTAACCCAACTCATTATACACTTATTAATTAACCTCGTTTAAGTTATAAAAGGTTATTTTTTAAAGTTTACTTTAAATAATTAATTTTCATACAAATTACAAATTAATGAAATTCTGTTACCTAAGTATTTAAAATGTGATTTATACAATTGCATATTAATTCCTTCTTACGTGATAAATAATTTCAAACAAAGAAGTATACAAATATTTCTCACATTTTTCATAGCTATAACTCACTTAGGCAAGATAAGTTCCTTGTAAATGTTTTATTTATTGTCTATTGTGACCTTCGACCTTCGTGTCACGAATAACGTGAGCTCGGGGTAATTGGTTTCAGTGAGATGCAAACGATCGTGAGATTTAAATGTCAGTGTGGATTTTTTATATTTTTTAAATATTTGTATGAATAAAATAAACTATTAAAATTGACCTTTGGATATTTGAAATAGATGAATATTGTTAAATTTACAGAAAACATACATCAATAATTTTTATTAATTAATTATCTTCTGGAAAACATTGTTATATTTTATGTTAACATTGGGGGTAAAAGGTATTAAATTGTCTTAGAAAATGTAGGCCAGTGCAGAAGCCTTTATTAATGTAAAGTGAAAATAAATGATAGTAGAATGAAACTCATTAGAAAAGGAGGGGAATATTATAAAAATTAAAGGAAAAATAATTTACGGGCGATCTGAGGTCGGGAAGGATATTGGGGTGGGTACTTAAGGGTAAAAAATGGGGTTTCTCGATTTCCGGCAAAACTAAAAGTCCTACAGAAAAAAGTTATATGGCAAAGCTGTAGGTAATAAAAAGATCTAAAACTTTTGTACTAACATTTTTTTCACATAACCTCAAATTTTATGTATAAAATCAAAAAACAAGTGTTTGGTCTACTATAATTTAATTATGTTTTAAAAGCTATTGACACTGGTCTAAGGGTAAAAGACTAGCTTCACGAAAAGTAAGGAATAAATCCTATCCTATACTTAATAATTCCAACGAAATGGGGTAATTGTGGGAAATATGAATAATTAATTACCTAAGATATTTATCAGGTTATTATGGAATTTTATGAGGGGACGGCGCGTACGCAGTCCCCACTACCAAAAATTACGCGTCCGAGTTATCCACATTAGGGATAATCACAGAGGTCAACCCCACCGCAGTGCAATGGAGGGGCCTCGCTCTGGGGGAACCGCCTTCATGATCACGGTGTCCCCTACGCCAGGTAAGTATGATTAATCTAGTTTAGTTAGGGATAGTCATTCAGTTGACAGAAATTTCACTAGCGCGATGTAGAAATTATCACGCTTTTTAGCAGCGCCATCTATTAGTGGATTTTGAAATTTAGTAGCGTCTTTTCGGTGTGGTTATGAATATATATTATGTTAATATTTTTTAGTAGTACTTACTTAAAATATGATAATCATATTTTTTTTTCGCAATAGTTAACATAACAAACTTATTTAGTTTTTCTTCTTTGATATTCAAAATTCGGTCACGCTTCTTATAAAGATTCTATTCATTAATAACCTTATAGTCTTTTACGACTCTTAATTTCCATATTTGTTATTTGTTAGTAGTATGTCTGTGGTTTTCTTATCATATCTATTGCATGTTTTATTTTAAATACACATACATATCTTCTCGTTTTGATAAACAACAAAAATTTTAAAAATATATTATTTTTACAATTCTTCCCTATATAATTGAAATTTAAAAAGACTGTATAAAATGTTCTTTTTGAATTTATAATATCAGGGTTAGAGCATAACTGATTTGGATTGAAATAAATATGCCTACATACGTTTAATTGTGGCCATACTTAATTATTTAATATTATTGGCTACTCAGTGTTGCCATGATGTTTGAAAAAGAAATTATATGACCATATTTTCTGTATTTTAATTAAATTATCTTTCTAAATGAAAAAAAAAACATGACTAGTGACTTATTATTGAAATTTACGATATAAATTAACAGGTTAGTAGCAATCAATAAATTTATCGATTATATAGTCTATAATTTTTCTTCTAAACAACACATAATATACTAATACTACACAAAAAAATCAAAGCTGCTTTCTTTTAAAAGGAATCATTTTATTCTATAATTAATAGACAAACATTAGTACAATTACATAATATAATTGTCGATACGATTCCCTACCATACAACTATGTATTACAATTCATTATTATTGGTTATAATAACCAATTAAGTGGCCACCGATTGGTAAAGCACGTAGGTATTTTGATAGTACAATAACTAAATTGTATCTGTCATAATATCGTAACAAGAAAGGTTCTTATAAATTACTAGTTGTATCCTATAATTGTTGAAAGAACTACTTTGTAGCTAATACAAGTAAATTGTAATGGGGATTGCATAATTAATTTGCTTACCGCGGCCATATTGTCGTTCTCAGTTGGCAGACATTTTGTTTTAAATTACTTTAGGGTTGAGGGCACAGATTAAAATGATTGTGGGGGTTAATTATTTTAAATTTATTAATTGTATCTGTGTTATATACTTAAATTGTTTATTATTTAAATTCAAATGACAAATAATTTTTTGTTTTATTACAATTGAATTTCTTTAAAGACGAATTTTATAGGTATTTGTGATTTCGAATCTAGTTTATTTTAATTTTCATGTATAAATATTGTAAGTGATTTTTAAATCGATAACTATATTTTTTTCTCTTTAAATTGTAAAAAGAAATTTTCTATAATGTTGTTTGCATTACCATTAATTTAAAATAAATGCTTGTCAAATGTCAGTTTAATTTTTGCAAAAGAAAATCTTTTAGCATAAAACGTTTTGTCTATAATAAATGTAAAAATTAGCTTTTATTGATATGGCATTACTATTATAATATAATAATAAATAATGTATCTAAAATTTATTTTTACTTAAGTTTTTTGGTTCCGTGCAAAGACGTGCACTGTATATTCTGCCCAATTTATATTTACAATGACAATTTGACAGATATGTCATATTATATATATTTTATTATATTCGGTATCTGTTTAATGCGAGTACATATAAGTTGCTATGTATTTTATGTTATTTTTTTTGAATCTCAACTGATTTAGAAAACTACAATCTTTTATAATTTCTTTGTTAAATTTAATACTATTTTTAATTAGAGTTATAAATATCTCTATCAAACAATAATTTCATAATAATAGAAATATATAAGTTTTGTCAACTTTTTTTTATATCTATACTCAATTCATACATTATATGTAAAATCAGATGTTTTTAAAATAAATAATTTATGAGGATTGATCGCGTTAAACATTTACACTTAAATTGTTAAAGGAACTTACGATTTCTAAAAAATTTATACCCTAAGGCCGGAGATTACGAGAAGTGAATGAAAATAAAAGATTTTGATTGATGAACCGGCCGTATCGAAGCCCTTGGGACGAGCTCGGAGTAATCACAGAGCTACAACATTGATTGATTTACAGACGGCGGTATAAAATAAAACATAAGTATATGTGTTAAAATACACACACACACATGCACACACACATACATATATATGTATGATTGGGGTTCGAATATAACCCTTGACAAATATGACCCCTAAATAATTATTTCGATAGTATTAAATGTGTTTATAGATGCCATCGGGTCGTGACTGGCCGCTGGCTCACTGGCACGCCATTGGCCGATACTAAGCTGCGCAGGCGCATCCGTATTATATTAAAACTATATTTCAGGAATACTTTATTTATATGCTCAACTATTTTGACATTTAAATGCCATTTATATTACCAAGTATATAAGAATATATTAAATATAAGTAAAATGGAATTATTTATGTATGTGTTACAAAATATTATAGTTTTTTTTATGAAGAGAAAGAATATAATAAGCAAATGTTACTTTAATATTGAAAC